CCCCCCCCCAATTAATTTACCAATTTTTTTCAATATTTGTAAAAATCTACAATTTTTATTTCAATTAGCTATAAGTTTATCGTTGAAAGATGTAAATAATCCACCAGCATTTAATTTAAAATGACACTCAATTAGAATTGGGGGGACTCATTCCCACAACCTCTGTTATTGGATGTTTATAAATATCTCCTTCTAAAACATCTAATTTTGTATTTGTTTTGTTATGTTTTCTAAATAAATTACTTACTCTTTTACATTTCCAGGATTTGAAGCAGAAGATGCTAGAGATGATGGTGTTGAGTATCTTGTGAAGAAACATCCTGAAATTCTCATGTTTCAACTTGGAAAAGAAAAAACCTGGAAAACAAGTAAATTGACGTCAACTGGATCAAATAGAATTTTGTCTCTTCCTTCCTTGTCTTCCTTGATTATAGGAAGAAGGATTGAATTTATTTCTGGAATAAATGTCAACATTGTTTCAAAACAACTCCAAACTCTACAGCTAAATTGTGATGATTTTAGTCAAAATAATGACTGGTTTCTACAAATATTGGAACAGTGTGGAAGTACTCTTTAAATCTCTGACCTTGGAGACGTCGTTTATTACTGATGGAATATTGATTAAATACAACAGAACCCTGCCTTGTCTAGAGATCCTGGACATGAGAAACTGTTATGAACTCACAGATAGAGGACTTCTGCAGATACTTCAGCTTTGCGGAAGTACACTCATATCCCTGGATATATCAGTAACAAATGTAACTGGAGAGAATCTGTCTGAATACAAGGGAACCCTGCCTTGTTTAGAGAACCAGAACATGATTTCCTGTTATCAACTTACAGATAAAGGACTACTGCAGATACTTCAGCTTTGTGGAAGTACACTTAGATCCCTGGATATATCAAGAACATATATAACTGGAGAAAATCTGTCTGAACACAAGGGAACCCTGCCTTGTTTAGCAAACCTGGACCTGAATAACTGTAAACAACTTACAAACAAGGGACTGCTGCAGATACTACAGATTTGTGGAAGTACACTCAGATCCCTGAATATATCAGAAACAAATATAACTGGAGAGAATCTGACTGAGTACAAGGGAACCCTGCCTTGTTTAGAGAACTTGAATATGAGTTACTGTAGACAACTCACAAACAAAGGACTGCTGCAGATACTACAGCTTTGTGGAAGTACACTTAGATCCCTGAATATATCAGAAACAAATATAACTGGAGAGAATCTGTCTGAATACAAGGGAACCCTGCCTTGTTTAGAGAACCTGTGCATGAGATGCTGTGAACAACTCACAAACAAGGGACTGCTGCAGATACTTCAGCTTTGTGGAAGTACACTTAGATCCCTGGATATATTAGTAACAAATGTAACTGGAGAGAATCTGTCTGAATACAAGGGAACCCTGCCTTGTTTAGAGAACCTGTGCATGAGATACTGTAAACAACTCACAAACAAGGGACTGCTGCAGATACTTCAGCTTTGTGGAAGTACACTTAGATCCCTGGATATAGAGTTTACAAATATAACTGGAGAAAATCTGTCTGAATGCAAGGGAACCCTGCCTTGTTTAGAGAACCTGAACATGAGATACTGTAAACAACTCACAGATAAAGGACTATTGAAGATACTACAGCTTTTTACAAAAAGGGTCCAGTGCCCCTTTTACAAGGAGCACATTTATATTACAGTGGTTGATTTATTTAGTAGTTTCTTGGTTTTTTGGATTTATTAATATAATGTAATGTTTTTGCAGGCGAGTTGGCCCAGACCAGACCATATCCACTCTAGATCTTGTTCCAACAACTCATTAAAGAGGGTTTTTGCTGTTAATGATTTTTGTCTTTCATTATTTATTTTTTTACATATTTATTTTTTTACATTTTATCTTTTAAGTTTTTATTTTTATTTTAAATCTTGATTTTTATTTCTCATATATTACGAATTTTCATATTATTTAAATTTAATATTCCGAAGTAAACCAGGATTAGAATGATTGTTTGATTTACAATTAATTTATCCCAACGAAAACTAGGATGGCCATTTTAGGTATTAATGTCCGGTATTCAAAAGTTGTGAATCAAAAATATCCTGGAAACTTAAGTTTAAAATGAATTACTATGGTTTTGTGTCATCAATGCTGGATTAGTAAATTCGTGGAACAATCTAAGAGAAATCTTGGATGAACGATGGTTGGGAGACCTAAGCCCCAAGTTTCCAGAAGAAATTCTGCGCCTATACATTTTTCGAAATGTGTACTACTAACATAGGACTACTGCAGATACTTCAGCTTTGTGAAAGTACACTTAGATCCCTGGGTATATATGGTACAAATATAACTGGAGAGAATCTGTCTGAATACAAGGGAACCCTGCCTTGTTTTGAGAACCTGAGCATAAACTGATATTATCAACTTACAGATTAAGGGCTACTGCAGATACTTCAGCTGTGTTGAGATGCACTTAGATCCTCGGATTTACAATATACATGTATAACTGGAGAGTATCTGTCTCAATACTTATATATTGAAACAACAAATTGAAATTGCGGTATTCCAATTCTGGAACACATTATTAGTTCTGCGAAACGTTCAGCTACCGAACTGAAGAATATTTTATTAACGAATAAAAATAACTATTCATGATTAAAAGAAGATGGGATAGTTAAACAGAACAAATAAATAGATTTATACAATGACTGTGACTATTTTAGTAACGAATGCGTGAAACTTATAAAAAAAATGATTTAATGTATTGTGATGCTTTAAATTGTGCTATTTGTTTTTTCGCGATATTTTTATGAGAAATGACTAAATGAAATATTTACCGTTAATGAGGTTAATATAATTGAGATAGTCAACAGACGGTAACTTTTAGAAGTAACATAAAAATTACCTTTAACTAAATGGACCCTTTAGTTTTAAGCTAAAAACGCAGGGATCCCTGAAAAGCTTGTCTGATAACTGTTAACAAACGGTTTGAAGAAAGGTCTGAACAATGACTTAGGGCTTTGATATTTTACTACAATATGTCTTGTGGCTGTTCATGAAAAGTTACAAAATTTGGGGACCCTGCCATTAACAGTTCAAAAATATAGCAACAAAAAGAAACCAAAAGAAGCATATTAAAGTCTTTAAACGAAATTTATGTTTGATTTTATACCTGTGCGCTTGATTTCTGAGATATTTTAACTCAGAAGACTGCATATTAGCATATTCTAAAGAAAAAGTTAAGCTGTTTTGACTTGAAACCTGATAGTCCATTTTCAGCAGTGTGTACACCCTTTTTAATGTATAACCAAGTTTTTGGTTTGAATCAAGGAGATATAAAATACAAGGAGGGGGTGTGGGGCGATAGGTTTTCTGTACACTTTGCTTTGACGTTTTTAGACTGCTGAAGAACTAGTTTTTGCGTAGCAACAATAATAAAGATTGTAAACAATAACACAAATGATAAACAAACATCTGGCATCTCTAGCGTTAGATGAAGATTCACTGTATACTAACTCATGTTTGTTTACATTAGATCGACTTTCTTGGTTTAAATACAATTTTTAACAGTTTACGTATCTATCTTCTTCTATCTACTATATGAGTTGTTTATTAACTTGATCAAAAAATATGTTTTTAAAAATCTACTTCAGATAACATTTCTTTCTAAGTAAGCATCCTAGCAAGCAATATCATTATTGAATTATGCAATTATAAGAAAACCATGAATTAAGGACTTAAGGTGGGGGGGGGGGGGTGTTTCCCCTTCCTTGAAAATGGGGTTTATGTCCCCCTCCCTGGACTATGGGGAGGAAACCCGTAAGTAGATAGAACACGCACCTCCTAACCCTTTAATTTTGATTCTCAAGAATTGATTTTTTTTTTCAATTTGCAAGGAGCGTCACTCAATGAAGATTTTTTTATTTTAAATTTTTTTTTTAAATCCAATTTTTAGAGAACAATTTTTCCCTCCCACTCCCTACTTGTCATGCTTTTGACATAAAAATTATCAAAGTTCCAGTACATATTTCCAAGAGGTGGGATAAAAAATTCAATAATTTCTCCGTCCAGGAAAATATTGTAAGCCTGCAACTTCCTAGGTTATTATTATTTTTGTCCTTAAAAACAATTTTTTTGGAAGAAGTTCTACACAATTTTACATATACTATATATCTCCTTACTAACTCTATAATTCTCAATATCTCCTTACTAACTCTATAATTCTCAATATCTCCTTACTAACTCTATTATTCTCAATTTCTCCTTAATAACTATCTAATTCTCAATATCTTCTTACTAAATCTCTAATTCTCAATATCTTCTTACTAAATCTCTAATTCTTAATTTCTCCTTAATAACTCTCTAATTCTTCAAATCTTCTTAATAAATCTCTAATTCTCAGTATCTCCTTACTAACTCTCTAAATTTCAATATCTCCTTACTAACTCTCTAATTCTCAATATCTCCTTACTAACTCTATTATTCTCAATATCTCCTTACTAACTCTATTATTCTCAATATCTCCTTACTAACTTTATTATTCTCAATATCTCCTAAATAACTCTCTAATTCTCAATATCTCCTTACTAATAACAATAAGCCTGAAAATAAAAGAAATAGTGCTGGCTGAAAGGGTTTTGTTTCGAGATGTTGGATGGGTCAACCTGCCGAACAATCCAGAGATGATTTCAAGGATGTATACAAGAAGGGGAAGTCTTAAGCTACCAAAATTCCAGAAGAAATTCTGCGGCGAAGCATTTTTCGGAATGTTTTCATTTTAAACGAGGAGTATGAATTAAAAGTCGTCTTCATTGTATTGAAGTAATCAAATACCTCTGGTTTTTGTGAAATACTTTAAATCAATCGTTTATTGTACGTCAAAAGTCGTCCCTCAATCTTCTACCCATAAATCATAAATTGAAGCATATAATAATAATTTAAAATTTGTTTGGAATGAATATCATCAAAAATAATGCTGAACTAAACTAAGAGGAAATATACAGGGTGTCACAATAAACATGGGAATTTGGTGACGAATTCGATATCGTCTTTGTTATGAATTAGCATTGCAATACCTTATTTCAAAAGCCATAATTTTATTATGTCTGCCAGAGTTTATTTAATGAAAAAGGTAAATGGCTGTAAAGATGCGTCTATAATCTCTATGCAAGATGAACAGTGAAGGCGGAGAAGATTGCTTTGTTTGTATACTGTAATTTTCTTGTTTTAATAAGTACCACTGTATGCAGTCAAAACATAAACAAACAAATTGTAAACATACCACACGATATCCTACGGATTACAGCTTTCCCAGTAGATATCACCATACTAAATCAAAGAATTACTTAAAAGACGATATTGGATTCGTCACTGAATTCCCATGTTTATTGGGACACGCTGCATCAATTTTAACACAATGTTAGACATAGAAAGTATAGTTCATCATAACAATTTTACAGTTACAGTTTTCACTCTCCCCAAAATATTATTTGACAAATTATTTTTATTTTTCAAGAGGGTCATCGGCTTAACCCCCATTCCCCCTCCGTATTTGATCAGGATGGGATGAAATGAACCATATAAATAAGAGTTTATAAAAACTAGGCTTTAAACTGGTGAATTAAAACAATAATAAATTTCGACATTTTTTCCCGCATAAATTTTTAACTAGTTTTAAACCTTCTCTTGGGCCATGTGAGTTGCATCACAATATTTTGGACTCCGTCGGTTCAACCGTTTTGAAGTTTACTGGATACAAACAGACGAGCAAAGTATATAAATAGAGTGAGAACCAGAAAACTCTGGAATAGGAGGACGACTTTTAGACTTATGTCATGACTTTAAATAGTTCAATGAACATGAGACACGGCAATTACGTAAATACTGTATACAGATCTATTTAAAAGTGATTTTATAAGTTACTATTTAACTCTATAAAGGCTGGGGGGGTGGGGGTCTGAATCTATGTATGGCCTGGGGGGGGGGGGTTTGGCGCCCCCCCCCCTAGAAAAAGGACTTAGCGAATAGGTATAGGATTGAAATGCATGTTCATAGCCCAATTTTTCATGGCCAGCTCAAAGAAAAAAAGATTAGACTGATAACTTCAATAGTTTGGGTGCTAGTAAGGGTGGAAAAAAATGCCTCTAAAAAAGGGTCAAAAAAATGAAAAACATATTTTTTTGTTTTGAACAAATATGTAAGTGTGACACATGTTTTTAGATCTATAGCTTTAGTTCGAAAAATTATGGGCTATTTTAGATTTTTTTTTTCAAAGCGGACTTTTTTCCAACCTGTACCCTACCCTATAAATTAAAAAAAATTAACAAAGAATCCCTTAAATTACTATTCATTAAAAGTCACAAAAATGAGAGTGCTAGGACAAAAAAAAAGCTACAGGGTGGTGCCAAAAGCCCCCCCCCCCCCCTCCAGCCTGTTTAGGGTCAACCTATTTGCTATGTAAAAACATCAAATAGACTTAAGGATTGCTATATATGTCATCATCCTTTTCACAGTTTTCTGTAGATGAAATTATTTTGAGACCTGGCAGTCAGGATTTATATTTCATGATAATTCACAGTAGTATTACTTTAAATACAGCTACACCAGGCGCACATTCTATTATTCTGTAGATAGTATTACTTACTGGTTTTATCCTTTACATAAGTTTAAGATGTCTTCAACGTTTGCCGGAACCTTTTTCCGGTAAATTCCGGAACAACGTTCCGGAAATCTACGGTTTACGGGAAAAAAATTGTTCCGGAATTCCGGAACCTTTTCCATAATGGAAATGGTAAAACTTTCCGGATCATTTCCGAACGTAAACCGGAATTCCGGTGGAAACCCTAAGTGATATCTACTGAGAACGCCAGAGGAGCCAGGAGCCGGCTACTTCTTGTTGCAAGACTGCTCCAACATGAGAACCGGAGGCATCTACAGTCAAAGATATCCGGGCGGAGGGGTCAGGGTGAACAAGGATGCTATCCCTTTTGAACTACTCCCGTTTGAACTATTGTTCATTTGACCTATTGTTCGTTTGAACTATACTGCACGTGACGTACCACGTGAATTTAGTTGAAATGAACAATAGTTCAAACGAGTTTATTTAATGCTTATTTGAACTATTTTCAGTTCATTTGAATTATTGTTTATTTGAATTATTAATATTATATATGAAATAAACAAAAAAACAGTTCAAATGAACATAAAAATAGTTCAAATGGACGTATACAAATAGTTGAAATGAACAAAACAATAGTTCAAATGGACATAAAAATAGTTCTAATAAACATAAAAACAGTTCAAATGAACATAAAAATAGTTCAAATGGACATACAAATAGTTGAAATGAACAAAACAATAGTTCAAATGGACATAAAAATAGTTCTAATAAACATAAAAATAGTTCAAATGGGCAAAAAAATAGTTCAAATGGACAAAAAATAGTTTAAATGAACAAAAAAATAGTTCAAATGGACATAAAAATAGTTCAAATGGACATAAAAGTAGTTCAAATGAACATAAAATAGTTCAAATGGACATAAAAATAGTTCAAATGGACAAAATAATAGTTCAAATTGGACATAAAACTAGTTCAAATTAACATAAAAATAGTTCAAATAGACATAAAAATAGAAGCTATCAATTTTTTGTTTTTCAGCAAATTAGTATTGGTCATGTGGCCGCATGGCGCTCGGCCCAGACATGTTGCCGGAGCGCTCGGCCCCTAGCCTGTCCTAGTCGCAGCGCTCGGCCCAGAAATGAGCTTAACCTAACCCCAAATATACACTAATTTTATTAAAAATTCTTGAATTATAGAGGTCTTTCCTTGCCGCAGCGCTCGGCCCCATAGTCCATCCTAGCCGCAGAAATGAGCTTAACCTAACCTAACCCTAAAAAAATAATAAGTAAATATTAATAAATTTGATGAAAAAAATGGTCATGTAAAAAATTGATAGGAGTGGGGGGGGGGGGTTCCAAAAATCGTTCTCTAGGACAGACCCCTTTTTTCATGTAACCAATTTTTTTGTAATTTTTTCATTTGAACTATTTTTTCTCTTAATTGAACTATTTCTTTTAATTTGAACTATTTCATTTGAACTATTTTTTTTGCTAATTTGAACTATTTTTTTTTGTTCATTTGAACTATTTTTATGTTCATTTGAACTATTTTTATGTTCATTTGAACTATTTTTATTTTCATTTAAACTTTTTTTATGTTCATTTGAACAATTTTTTTGTTAATTTGAACTATTTTATGTTCATTTGAAACATTTTTGTGTATATGTTATCTAATTAATTGTATGGTCCCTAACTTAATAATTATAAAAAAGTTTAAAAACTGAATTATAGTAGAAAAATAGTTCAAATGAACAATAGTCCAAACGAACAATAGTTCAAACGGGAGTAGTTCAAATGAGAATCCACCTGAACAAGTGTTGGAATATCTGCCGGGACGGATTTGGCAGCTGCAAAGGACTGGTTCATCTCCAGGTTCCAGGTCAAAGGTTTACCCTTGAGAGGAGGCAGGAGGCCGGCTGCTCACTTGATAAACCTCCTGTAGAAATTAAGGATCCCCAGGAACCTCTGTATACCTTTCTTGTCTGAAGGACGAGGAAAGGTGGAGATAATCTGTGTGTGTTTGACTAGTGGAAAACAACCCGATCCTGATACTCTCCTTCCAAGGGAGTCCACTGTAGGAGCTTTAATCCCTTAAATATTATTAGCTTACTTTATCAAATGAAATCTGTGCTACCAGAGGTCTAAACTTCATATTGCTAATCCCTTAATTCGGGGTCTGCTGTGTGTGTTAGGTTAAACCCAATCTGAAGCCAAAAATCTACTTTCACGCAAATAAGATTTTACAGAAATACGAGCCAATAGCATTTAATGTACGCTTCAGTTAAAATATTCCTAAATTTTATCAAATATCTATTTTTGACTCTATCTTATTTATAATTACTGTCTTAAGGATAGAGAAACAGTTGTTTTTAGTATACAGGAAAGGGTGTATAAAAACATATAAAATTTTAAAATATTTTTTATCTTAGATATTTTGCTAATTTTATTTATTTTTAAATTTTAAATTTTGAAAGTAAATTTTTTTTTTGCACCTCTGCTTGAACAATATGAATGTATATTCAGATCAGCAATATACTCAGTAGTTGAAGAATTGATACTATAATGATCAGGTAGACTTCATTGAAACAGTTTATACTCAGACAAACATAGAGAACCAATGCTTAGGTATAGACATAGACAGTTTATACACAGACAAATATAGAGACACAATAATTACGTATAGACATAGACACAGTTTATACACAGACAAATATAGAGACACAATAATTACGTATAGACATAGACNATAGACACAATGCTTAGGTATAGACATAGATATAGTGTGTACAGACAAATAGAGACACAATGCTTAGGTATAGACATAGATACTAGATAGTGTATAGTGTATACAAACAAAAAGGGACTATTACATGAATATGATAGGGTTGACATAGGAATTGTTCATTATAGAATAAGAAAAGCTATATTCAGATAAAAAGTGCAACGGTATTGATTTCAATAACTAACTCCTTTTTTATCAAAACTAAATCAACAATTTTATTTGGCTCCCTCGACAAATCATAGTCTCTGTATGTCTCTGGTTATAAAAGAACAGCTTGAAAAGTGGGACAAATGGAAAATCGTATGGAGGATTCCCCCTTTAAACCCTAACAGCGAACCATTTGTTAAAATTTTCTTGGACATACAGAGCGTCCCATATTATATTGGATTATTTCCAAGCTATAACGCCAAATTACACTCCAACAACCTTGTTTGATCTGCTGACTACAGGACATTTTTTATATTAGCTTTAGACATTTTTTTAATGATTTATTATTTTTTAATTTTCTTAAAATGTCCCTTAAATATAGAGCTAGAAAAGATCTAATATGATGGGGGACACCCTGTAGCTTAAAAGTATTTTAGTTTTGAGAATGTTCACATTTTTTTCCTTTAATTCCAACACATGCCCCTCACTTTACAGTTAAGACGTTTTAAAATCCATTACCTTCTACAAGGCTACAGTGTATTTTTGATAGGTAGGCATCATGTCTTTTTTTAAATTCTCCACTGTTTAGTTAATTAATTCTGCTGTATGGTTTCAGCTTGAGAATTGCAGCTTACTCAGCTTAAGCTTAACATTTTATACAGTCTTTATGAGTTTGTTTTTTAACAAAGTTTATTTTTTCTATTCAAGGTACAGGCTTGTTTTATATCAAAAATCTGATAAATAGTAGATTGCTGACATTTACACGTTTTTGATGTCAATACTGAAGATAAAGACATTTAAACCTTTTTGCTTGCTGAAATGAATTTTTCATTCTAAAATTCTTCTTTTTGGAACGGGTTTACGTATCTTTTTAAAGTACCATAGTACAAATTTAATCCTGAGGGGTTTTTGCCACAAAACTTTGATTTCTAATCCCCATAGCTTGCACATGTCGGAGATCATAGATTTTCAATCCATGAATTCTATGAGATAAAATACTGTTTAGCTTGAAGCATCACTTTACAAATTTTGAAGATTAGAAAATTTTTAATTCTGACAAAGGCTCAACTCCTTTTTTCATTTTTAATTGACGAACTTAATATATACAATCTATTTATCGCGAACACTCCTTTTATTTTAATCTATATATAATACTAAAGATCTTCGCTCATATATATATTTGTATGTAAATATGTTAGCTATAGCTGTCCAAACGGCTGAACAGATTTGGCTGAATTTTTCTGGGAAACTCAAAAATCGAATTTTTTTCTTCTTCAAAAATCAATTTTTTTCTTTTCAAACCTCTATTATTTTTAAATTCCATGTATATCGCCGGGCACTCCAGCTAGTAAACAATAAATTTTTTTTGATAATATTTAACTATGATTAAAAAAACGCTGATCCAGTTTTTTTTTGATTCTACATCAATATTGCTCCAGTAAAATTAGAAATATTATCATTGTGTTAAACCTATCGAAAATCAACGAAATTTAATGAACACAATGACAATATTCATAAATTTTAAAAAAACTTTTAGCCATTCGATCTTATCAATACGTTTGTGATCTAAGCTGAAAAGGCTTTATGAGGTCCTACGTAGACCAATTTTATATTTCTTGAAATGGAAATCAAAATAAAGTAAATGCAAAATAAAGTAAGCCCCGAATTATCATAACTTTCCTGATTTAAAATTTCCGTTCTTCTCTCGGTAATTTGGCCAACAAAGCTTTGTTTGCAATTTTTTTTATTCCCCCCCCCACCCCACCCCACCCCCATGTTCTTCTCTACTATAACGAGTTTAAGTCTATAATTGATGATATAACATTTGTTAATCAGTTTGATCTGCAAGGAAAAATTTCCGGTCATTAATTTGAAAAATTAATGAAAAATATTAATAGAATGAATTTTAGACAACGAAAAGTTCATCATGGAAGTCAGGAGATTTTTATGGGAGATGTAGAGAGAGAAAAAGAAGGACCAATGGTAAGATTAAACTAGGGTTTCTAGCGAACTAAAACTTTCGCGAAATTTTTCATTAATATTTTGCAAACATATCCTCGAAATTTCGTGAAAAGAAGAAACAGAAACAATGCGGGATTTAGTGAGAAAAAAATATGCTAAAGTTTCGCAAAAAAATTGCAAAAATGTTTGCTTTTTCTCGAAATTTCGCATTAATCTGATTCACGAATTCTTTTTTTCGCGAAACAGACTAACGCAAAATTCTGAGAAAAAAAGATGTATGCATATTTTTCAACGAACGGAATATGAAAAAATGCGAAAAAAATGAGTTGTTCGTGAAGAATGTGAAATTGCATTTCGCTGGTACCATAGATAAAATCCGAAGAGAAGATCATATAATTATCATAGAATCAGTCCTAAAAGAAGATCAATGGTAAGAATATTCTTGACCGAAGATCAATGCATAAATTACATAAATAACCAACATAATCCTTGATCAGCAAAAAAGCTGAAAACTGAAAATACATCTGATATCTACAGATGCATGATCAGCTAAAAAGAAGAAAAAAAATCAATGCTCTTTTTTAAATTTTGTTAAAAACAAATTTTAATTTAAAAATAAATTTAAAAAAAATATGAAAACTGACCCGAAACTTTTTTTAGATTGGCTCTAAACCCTCTGGATTATGTACAAATTTTTGTATTTTACTTTTTATATTGGCAGGTAAACTATTATTGTAAATTAAAATTACGTTTTTCAATTTTAAAAATTTTAAATCTAGAAGAAGAAAAAATGTATTAAGCGGCTTTGCTTAAAGGAATACATTTTTCTTAACACTAAATAAACCGCTAAATAAAAGAAAATACATAGTTATAATATTAATGCTGCCTTGGTGCTCTTGGTTTTCAAGTAATGCATACTAAAGCTTTCAGGGCGCTTCGCGCTCATCTTCTATTCTAATTACGAACATTTTCGCTTTGTATACACTGTAAAACAAAACAAAAACAATAAAAGTTCGCGGATTTTATGAAAAAAATTATGTGGTTTTATTAAGTTAAGTAAATATCGAATTTGGTTGGAGGCTTATTTTTGAAATTTTGATCATTCATAAACCTTTCCTGGGGTCATGTGAGGTCCCACACAATATGTATTCAGCCCCTTTGACCTTTGCTGGATACAAAACAAACAGACAGACAACAAACTATATAAATATTTTTATTTTTATTTTGTAGTTCTCGGCATGAGTGGAAGTGCATATCAGTATTATGAGCTTTTAAACTTAAAAAATCAACTGTCAGGAATAACGGTTTAAACATTTTAATTCTTGACTGGAGAATGAGTAATTTTCTAAAATATGCGGCTATTTCTCTAATTCAAGGACTCGAACAGGTGGAAGGGGGTAGTTAGGTAGAATAATGCCTTCAATGAATTTAAAAGATTTTGTACAAGTGCAAACATTTAGCATAGTTTTAGCCGGAAAAATAGAGAGGCCGATAATTGATGTTTAAAACCAAGTATAATCATTCATTTTGCCAAATTTAAACAAGTCAAAATAAACTTATGAAAAAAAATTGATATTGTAAAAACTTAATAAAGAAAAAATAGCATATATGAAATATATATAGATAAGAGTTTCAAAAATGTTATAGTTTTTTTTTCATTTATTTCAGATTTGCTAATGTCTGAAATTAATTATAATGATTAAAGGGACAGACTGGCTATGTAAGGTAGTTAAACTGAATATGCAGTGTTGTGGACAAATTCTTTAGGATTCATTTGAGAAGTATAAAACTTTTCTACGATTTAAAATTACAGTGTTTGTTCGCAAAGTCAACATTCAAAATCATGAATCGGTTTTTTAATTAACAAATAATGACAACGAAAAATATAGTAAAAATTCTATAGTAAACAAATTAGATGTTTAATAACATATTTCTCAAAAGAAATTTGTCAATAAATCGAAGTTCGAATTAAGTATTTCCTTTTTCATCATTATATTGAATTTCTTATTTTCTATGAATTTGTTCGTATATTTTCTCAAATGTCGTCTTTTTAATAAAATTCTAGAAAATCTGCAGAAAATCTTTGTGATTAAAGAGAGATTATAGATAAGATATGCTATGATAAGAGTTAAATTTTATTTTCTCAACCTGTTCCTCTAAGCAACTAATTAGTTTACTGTAGAGTTTTGTTTACATTTTTGTCGTCGTTATTTAATAATTAAAAAAACAATTCTGAAAATGTTTCCACGCAAAAGTACGATTAATTGAACGTCGACTTTGCGCTCAAACTCAGGATTTACAGATCTTCAAAAAGTTTAATATGTCTCAACTCTCAAATGAATCCCAAAGAGTTTGTTCACAACACTGCATACTAAGTTTAACTACAGAATGTCCCACGAAATATGACAATAGCAAGACGACTTGGAAGTCGTCTTTGGTATTTGAATTCATTTGTGACATTTAGTCTTCTACTTTAACATGAATGATTCTTGAAACAATTATCACATAATTCTCCTAGCCCTGGCATTTCCAAAAAGTGGTCTGCGTTTTTTGTGCTTTCAATATTACCGGAGATATAAAGAGTTTGGTTCAGATTTCAATTTTGTTAAATAAAAGCAAAATTGTCGAAATCTGTACGAAATTCTTCATATCTCTCATGTAACACTCACCCGGACCAAATATAACGCCCGGGCCCGGTCTGTGCTTTCTAAACTAAAAATTTGGTTTTGATTAAACGATATTTCTCATGATTTTCTGATCCTCTAAATAATAAAACTGTTGGTGCAGAAAACCAAGGAGTTACTGCAAACCTTGAGATAGAACTTACTGCGGAGAGGTAAAATCCCTAACAACATGATCTAACCTTAAGTTAGGATTTTGATCCAATAAATCTAAAGTTCTGAACAGTCAAGGGAGGTCGATTTTGGAAATTCCACTTGCTAAACCCAGATGAGCAATGAGCATACATAATGGTTATTTTTTTAGAAATAACATTTCTTCATATGACGGTTTTATGACGATTAAATTTGATTATCGGGACTAAGAGAACACATTTTTGGTCTTGGAACACAGAATTTAAAACGTTGTATTTTTTTTGATTTTACTTGCGGTTTTTAAAATATTTTTTTTTCTTAAAAGTCAAATTCATCCAACTAAAATTGATTTTTAAGACATTTTTTCTCAAAGGAATTGAGTTTTTGCCACAAACTCTGATTTTCTAATTTCAATATCGTTGCAACCTAATGTCGTAGACCTTAAATATTTAAAACTATTAATGCTATTAGATCAAATAATATAAGTTTGAAATATCAAAGGTTTACTTCATAAGGCTGAACAACTGAATTTGTGGTAAAGACTCAATTCTTTTGCTCAAACTTTTAGGCTCCATAAAAATCCGGTTAAAGCAATTAAGATTTCGGAAACTCGAATCATTGCATTTGCAACCTGATTTCGTAAAAAACACAATGCTTAGGTATAGACATAGATATAGTGTTTTTGCTCAAACTTTTAGGCTCCATAAAAATCCGGTTAAAGCAATTAAGATTTCGGAAACTCGAATCATTGCATTTGCAACCTGATTTCGTAAAAATTTGATATTTTGAACTGACCTAGAATTAGGGTTTCCATTGGCAAAACCTTTGCGCAATTTTTGGCGGAACGAAACGCAAAATTTTTCTTTCTTTGCGCGAAAAAAAAACAACAATTAGCGCAATCATTCGCAAAAGTCATTTTGCGCAAAATTGCCCTATTCCGCTTTTGCGAAACTCAAGTTTTGCGCAATTCCCCAATTTCGAAAAAATCAAACGGTTGGTGACGGTGTGTGTTTCTTAGAATTCAATTCTTCCAGTGCTGGAAGGTTTTGTACCAAAATCCGAAACAGATTGTCCAGTAAAAGTCTCGACAATTTTAGTTTTGGACATTATACATATTTCCTAAAAGTGGATTCTTCAGGCATTGGTTACTTTCTTGCATTATTTTATATGAGATTAAAAAGATTTCAGAAATTTGATTAAAAAAATTTAAGAATATAAATCATACTTGATTAGGGAAAGCTTTTAAGGGTCACTTGAAATTATTTAATAGGATTGAAATATTGCCAAGTTTCACACTCTCTAATTTCTATTTTATTAATTTTGGTCCTTTAATTTAAACTTTTGTAACTGGAAGTAACCAATTGAGTGTAGTATAATCGTTATCATACTCTTATGTTAATATTTTTTTATGTATGGAATACATCTTCAGTTGTTTGATTCTAAGCTTAGAATATCAATTTTTGACAATTTGCCTAAAAAGTTACATTTTGCGTAAAACTTGCGGTTTTGCGCAAATTGCACAAAAAAATTGCGCAAAACTAAAATTTCTTTTCATGCGCAACTTTTGGAAAAACTATTTCCGGTTTTGCGCAAATTGCGCAAAAAAATAGCGCAAAACTCATTGCGTTTCATGCGCAAAAATAGCGCAAAAGTTCGCAAAAAAAGATTTGCACGAAAATAGCGCAAATTTTGCGCAAAAGATTTGGCCATTTCGTGGAAACCCTACCTAGAATTCATGTGTTAAAAATATCAAAAGTCTACGACAACTCACCACAGGCATTAAAGAGAGGGATTAGAAAAAATTGAAATTTGTGTGTTTATGATTTGGAATTTTTGATTTTATAGGAAAACATTTTGCTATAAGTATAATATTGATTTATTCATTCTGATTTATTTTTACTTGGAAAAACAGAAAATCCACGATTTATCTATTGGAAAATTTACAAAAGCCCACAGGAGAAATTACCAGACTCAAATAAGTTTTTCATTCTGAGATTAAAGTAATTTCGATAGTTTTGGTTTTTAATAAAAATCCCTTCGTTTTAAAACGGTTTTCTGTTAAAGTTTGCTTTTTTAAAACTTTGCAATACTTTCCTTAGATCTCGAAAAAAAAGAAAAAAAGCATATTTTGGGTTGTGTGCAAATTTTAGATTATAATGTCTCAGATTTAATTAGAATCCAAAACCGTCAAAAACGAACCAAACAACTTAAAGCACAACACAATTCACAAGCTAGGTTACATACCTTGGGTAACATCATGTTGTTTCACTGCTATAGTTTATTATGTTTTTCTAGGAAGAATGTTGAAGACTGTAAAAATGAAATAGAAGAGATGGAGACATTGATTAAAAAATCCCTTGGAGAAGATTTTATTAAGAAGGAAACTTTTTAAAGCTTTTTACAAAAAGAAAAATAAGTAGAAATATTTTCGTTCATCATTAAAGAAATTTTTTCGGACTAAATGTAAGTAGGGTTTCCAGCGAAAAGGGAAAATTTAAATTATTTATATGACATAATAAAACTTCAAATATTGAGCTATCAGAGCAGAGAATTCCACAAGTTCTTTTAAGCAATTAATTGTTGCAGCATATAAAACTCATGGTTTTCACAAAATTTTTGCATTTCGCAAAATTTTCCCAATTTCGCTTCGTTTTCGCGAAACGTTTCGTTCGCTGGAAACCCTAAATGTAAGCAGCGTACATTTGTGTTGAAAATACATGATTGTGCACTTTACAGTGGGCGATAGTGTAAAATGAAATGTTTCAGAAAGTATAGAAAGAAAGATAGTGTAAAATGAAATGTATCCGTCAATTAATAGCAAACAATGACAACATAAAAACACTATTTTTCGAGAAAAAAAATCAGCCATTAAAATCAAACCTAGAAAAAAAATCATTACCTTGGACTTTGATTGAAGATTAGTAATTTTAAGACCAAAAAAAACTCAAGGACCAATATTAAAACTTAAAAATTTCTTGTTTTTTTGCCTCAAATGCTTTAACTAATGATCAGAGAGATGTATCTGGAGAGAATGAGAATCTAAATGATACACCAGCAACACCAGTACCTAGGGCACCTACACCTCCTGGACAGGTGCAAAATCAGCAGGAAGCTGAAAATAAAGATTCTGCGGCCTCTGACCTTGAAAGAGCTGCTGAAACACAGAAAGCAGCTGATGCACAGCAAGCAGCTGAGGTACAAAAAGCAATGGAAGCACAAAGAGCTGCTGAGGCACAGAAAGCAGCTGAAGCTCGAAAAGCTGCTGAAGCACAACAAGCTGCTGAGGCACAAAAAGCTGCTGAAGCAAAACAAGCTGCTGAGGCACAAAAAGCTGCTGAAGCACAACGAGCTGCTGATGCACAAAAAGCAGCTGAAGCTCAGAGAGCTGCTGAGGCACAAAAAGCCGCAGAAGCTCAAAGAGCTGCTGAGGCACAAAAAACGGCTGAAGCACAGAAAGCTGCTGAAGCACAAAAGATAGCTCAGGAACAAGCAGCAAAACAACAGCAGCCCCCTGCACAACAACCTCCAGCATCTTAACCTCCACCTACATCTTAAAATGTCATAGTAGCACCGCAACCTCTACCAGGACTAAATCCCCCGACAGCAAAGCAACCTTGGATAGCGTTGACACCTCCAGGAGCCCAGCAAATTCCAATAACACAGAAACCTCCAGCAGCTTGACAACCTTCAATGACCCTGAATCCTCCTATAATCCAACAACCTTTACAAACACAGAAACCTCCACCAACACAATATCCTCGATCCAACAGCTCAGAAAACTCCAACATTACAGAAACCTGCAACGGTTAGGGAAACTTCCAACAGTACAGAAACCTCAAACAATACAGAAATCTACAACTGCAGCAGAGAAACCTCCAACAGCAGAGAAACTCCCAACAGCAAACAGCACAAAAACCTCCAACACAGAAACTTCCTACACTTTAGTCTAATAATTTATATTTAGTTAATGTACTGCCAGAGTTCCGAACATCCGACTGCAACCTTTTAGTTTAATTTTTCAGATTTTCAGAATGGTTTGGATGATTTGAGTTCTCTACAATTATATTCAAGATATAAAGCTTAAAAACACAAAAGCACACAAGCATAACATTATAAAGAAAAACATCCAGAACACACAAATACAATATACACACTTTAGAGATAAATTAACTAACTGACACCTTGAGTTACCAAACATCAGCTGTGTACAAAAAATTATAATTGTCTCTTCTCAAAAATTTCAATATTTTCCCATTTGTTTAAATTTTTAAATAACTAAAGTATAAAATGTTAAACTTGATAAAGATAATCAACAAAATTGAAATCAAGAACACGAAAATCCAGCTTTTTCATTATAAACTGGAGTTATTGGACATTTTTATCTTAAACAGAATCCTGAGTTTGGACTTTTTCATCTTAAACAGATTCTTCAGAGTCAGTTTGGACTTTTTCATCTTAAACAGATTCCTCAGAGTCAGTTTGGACTTTTTCATCTTAAACAAAATCCTGAGTTTGGACTTTTTGATCTTAAATAGATTCCTCAGAGTCAGTTTGGACTTTTTCATCCTAAACATATTCCTGAGTTTGGACTTTTTCATCCTAAACAGATTCCTGGGTTTGGACTTTTTCATCTTAAACAGATTCCTGGGTTTGGACTTTTTCATCCTAAACATATTCCTGAGTTTGGACTTTTTCATCCTAAACAGATTCCTGGGTTTGGACTTTTACATCTTAAACAGATTCCTGGATTTGGACTTTTTCATCTTAAACATATTCCTGAGTTTGGACTTTTTCATCCTAAACATATTCCTGAGTTTGGACTTTTTCATCCTAAACAGATTCCTGGGTTTGGACTTTTACATCTTAAACAGATTCCTGGATTTGGACTTTTTCATCTTAAACATATTCCTGAGTTTGGACTTTTTCATCTTAAACAGATTCCTGAGTTTGGACTTTTTCATCCTAAACAGATTCCTGGTTTTGGACTTTTTCATCTCTTAAAACAGATTCCTGGGTTTGGACTTTTTCATCCTAAACATATTCATGATTAGATTTTTAGTTCATTTCAACTGTTCAAAAATTCTGTAAATATAAAAAATGTACTATTTAGATGTTAGAATAACTATTCTTTTCAACAATTTCAAAATCTTTTTTTATTTTAGATAATTTTTGTTTTCACAAGAGAAATCTTATGTTGCTTTTGTTTACGATTCGACTTAGTTTTTCCCCCCAAGAAAATTTATCCTTAAAGTAGTTAAAAACACACTTGTCTGTATACAATAGATACCTTTTCATGCAGAAATATGTAAACTGTAAATATAACCAAAGTTTTAAAATAATTATATTTCATATTTCCAATCGGACAATTTTATTTCGCGGAATTGTAAGGAAATGTGCGGAATTACAGGGCTCGTAATTACGCGCAAGAAAAATCCTTTTGCGTTGGAAACCCTATTGTGAATCAATGAGGATTCACCATTGTAAATAGACATAGTACAGTTAATAAGATATTTTGTAGCCTAATTAAGAACAGTTATTTCATGGTCCCGATCCAAGCCAAGCTTCAAGAACTCTTACCAAGTTTGTACTCGATTAGCCAAGCTGCAAGGGTGTTGAACTCTTATCAAGTTTGTACTCGATTAGCCAAGCTGCAAGGGTGTTGAACTCTTACCAAGTTTGTACTCGACTAGCCAAGCTGCAAAGGGTACAGAACTCTTACCAAGTTTGTACTCGACTATAAGCCAAGCTTCAAAGGGTGTTGAACTCTTACCAAGTTTGTACTCGATTAGCCAAGCTGCAAGGGTGTTGAACTCTTATCAAGTTTGTACTCGATTAGCCAAGCTGCAAGGGTGTTGAACTCTTATCAAGTTTGTACTCGACTATAAGCCAAGCTGCAAGGGTGTTGAACTCTTACCAAGTTTGCACTCGACTAGCCAAGCTGCAAAGGGTATTGAACTCTTACCAAGTTTGTACTCGACTAGCCAAACTGCAAAGGGTATTGAACTCTTACCAAGTTTGTACTCGACTATTAGCCAAGCTGCAAAGGGTATTGAACTCTTACCAAGTTTGTACTCGATATTAGCCAAGCTGCAAAGGGTACTGAACTCTTATCAAGTTTAGCTTCATTTGGTACAGCTAGGCAAGGATCGATGCAGGAAAGGGGAATCTAACGGCACTTCTTGCCAAAGCAAAAAGGAGCGAGATCGGCAATGTTGGACCCAGATAAGACCAGTCGTCATCAAGTATCGAATCAGAGAAGTCTCATGGACATACATTTGTCGCGGCGGATGTCATGTTACATTTTATTTATTGATTGATCAACTGTTTGTATAGTTTAACCTGTAAATATAGTTTTTGTGTGAAAACATGTTTCTTTATTCCACTCAATACTACGTTTGACCCATGCATGACGCTTCATTAACAAATCCAATGTAGGCACTTTCAAATTTGAAAATCAATGCTTAATCCCTAAATTAAAGTTGCATCTGCCACATAAAACTAACTACAACGAAGTGCATCCTGTCTGTAGTGTGGAATAATTTCAGTCATATTTTGATCTCTCATTCAAAATCTTTCAAAGCAGCGTAAAAGACCTTATTTACCTAAATATTTAAAATACATTAGTCCAACAAAAATGATCAAATAGCAAAAACTAAAAATCTACATTTAATGATTAATAAAGGGTTCTTTTACGTTCAGACTTGATCCCAAGATGGACAGCACAATAGTTCTGATATGATACTGGATATATCATTCTTGTAAACATTCCAGTTTTTCCTCGTTTTCGACTAAAATAAAGTCAGCCATTTTTAATTAATCCTCTCAAAAAAAACCTGTATATATGTTACTTCTCATTAGTATTACAATTACATATACCATTTAAGGTTACACAAAACCTTTCAACCTAAGAAGAATAACAAGAAATATATTACAGGGGATATTAGTTCTAAAACTAACAATTGGCCCATTTCTAACACTAGTTTAGAAATGGGCCAAATCTGCAAAGTTATCTTTTTCTAGAGTATATATTTTTAAATCCAAGTCGAGTAGAACAAAATTACACCATACATTTATAAAGAATGGCTAAAGCTATATATTGAAACAATAAATGTCAATTTTGAATTAATAATAAGGTGTGATAAATAGTTTTTGAGGATTCTTGATTTCATTTTCGAACATATCCCTATTTTGAAACAATTACCGGATTTCAGCTCATGTCACGTTTTCGGTACATAATACAGTGTAACCCTTAATAACGAATACATCGGAAGAATTTATCAAATGTCGTCTTGACAATTTTTCAATAAGTTTTATACTATATTACGTAAATTTCAGTATTTGCGAAAATAAATAAATAGCTATGAATATGCAGGAACAGTTTTAAAGAGTTCCATATAATTATTTAATTAAAAAACTAAATATCTGCAACATTCCATTATCAGAAAGTGAAGAATACGACATTTGATGAATTCTTTCGATGTATTCGTTATTAAGGGTTTCACTGTACATATCCTGGTTTTGAGACAATGACCGTATTTCAGCTCATGTCGCGTTTTCTGAACATATCCCGGTTTTGAGACAATTACCGGAATTCATATCAATATCAATTTTCAAGTATTTACGCACTTATGAAACAAAACAAAATTTTTTGATAAGGTAAAATATAAACAAAATAGGAAATAAAAGCAAACTGTTTTTTTATAATTTAAAAATCATTACAGTATTAGAAATCAAAGTATTAATATCATTTGTTCTTACAATATAGATTTAACTAGAAATGCGGGAAACTGTTTGTTTGAAAATAAATCATTCATATTCTCTAGTTTTACAGATAAAATGTGGAAACTAAAAATAATTCAGAAGTTAATTTAGTCTTCATAAGATAATTTTTGTTTTCAGTGATTTATTTTGTAAGTTTTGAAAGTGAGTTTTGTTTTGAATTGTGGATTATACTCAAAAACGGGAAAGTATGTAATGTGTTTGTCTCGAAAACGCGACAATGTTTTAAATTTAGGATATGTTCGAAAATGTGAAATCTAATATTGTCTTGAAAACGGTCAAGAGCTTTAATATAAGAAGAACTCCTATTATACTTTTGATTTAACAAAAAAGTTTAAAATTGGGAATTGTTGTCCTCGTCATGTTTAATATATATAAAATGTTGGTTATAGTTTACTCTGCAGATATGAGGCATGGGCCGGGATCCCAAAATCCAGTCTTTCAATTTGTGCCCATTTCTAACACTCAGTGTTAGAAATCGGCCAAGTGTTAGTTTTGGAACTAATGTCCCCTGTAATAAGGATTATATCGGACTATTAGGACGTTTGCAAACTTTAAGATGAAAACAGGAAAAACTTCGATCAGAAAGACTTTTATGGATAATGGACAGACGAAATGATAGTCAAATACTGCCAGGAACTACTAACTATTTAAAGAACTGCATAGACCAACAATTAAGGGATTATATAGTGGACAAATATGACTAGTGGACGAATTACAAAAAACTGCTGTAGACTGTAATAGGGGACTCTACATACATAGTGAATATGACTAAGCCAGGGGCTATTAGACACAAAGAAATACAGGAAAAGACACTAGAACAGAAATTTTTACCGCTTCGCACACATGTTTAATTTATTTACTCCTGTCGTTCATTTTAAAGCTGTTGGAAGTATATTTCATTTAAACTATAGAACAAGCCATGGATGCTACAGAGCGTCCCATATCATATTAGATTATCTTCAATCTTTAACGACAAAATAAATCTTTAATACTCGAAAAACTTATCATTTTCCGCAAGAAAATTCTTATATAAGCCTTATATTATTTTTCAAAATGATAAATTCTAATTAAATTTTCTGATTAGTCCCGAAAATCGTAATTTAGACCCGTTCTCGGTCTAATGTGATGTGGGACACCCTGTATAAGAATTTGGTATATTATTGACCACAGAACTAACTCTTCAATAATTAAAAATTGTTATTTTTTTACTTCAAAGCCTGAAATTTTAATATTGAGATTCCACAGTATATATATACACATGGTTCCTTCCAAAGGATGAGACTTCTTAGAAGACTACACGGAATTTGTGTTGTCCGATCTTACATTCAGGGTTACTTCAACTTCCAGGCCAAAACTGGCATATTGCCTTGCTTAATCATTTACTAAACCATTAAAATCAAAGAGAATAGAATATATATTAGAGGGGAATTTACCAGAAAAAAGTGTAAAACGGCCATTTTGTTGTACTGTT